ATTAGATCTAAATATTGTTATTTATATATTAATATTTATTAATTAGAATTTACAGGATTATAGTTATGCTTATTATTATTGCTATGCTCATTAGTATCACTATACTCGTTATTATCGCTATGCTCGTTATTATCGTTATTATTGTTATGCTCGTTATTATTGTTAGTACTTGTGGCAATGGGTGTAGTAAAAGTTGCTGCAGAAGTGACAGTAGCTGAAGGTGCTTCAGTAGGTAGATAATCAGCAGCAGGAAAGTCAGTAGTATTATTATCATTGTTATACTCGTTATTATTATTATACTCATTATTATTATTAGTACTTGTAGCAATAGGTGTAGTAAGAGTTGCTGGAGAAGCGACAGCAGCTGAAAGTGCTTCAGTAGGTGGATAATCAGCAGCTAGAGAGTCAATAGTATTATTATCATTGTTTTTCTTATTATTATAATTATTATGCTCGTTAGTACTTGTGGCAATGAGAGTGATTGGAAAAGCGAGAGCAGCTAAAGGTGCTTCAGTAGGTGGATAATCAGCAGCAGGAGAGTCAGTAGTGTTATTAATATTGCTGGGCTCATTACTATGTAATGAGCCGATTTCAATATGCTGTTAATTAAATATAATAATTATTATAATTAATATATATTAATATATATTAATAATTCATTAATATCTAATAGTACAGGTTTTTTTCGTATTTTTACTGGCTGCCCTTGCGTCAAAAGTGTGTCAGGAGTACATCGAGCATAACCTGGGTTTACATGAGAAAAGTATCTTTCTGTATTGCGAACATAAAGTAAAATTTCTAATTATATCATATAATTGGAAATTTTACTTCATATTCACAATACAGGAAGATGCTCTCCTCATGTAAACCCAGGTTACGCTCGACGTACTCCTGACACACTTTCAACACAAGGGTAGCTGGTAAAAATACGAAAAAAATCTGTGCTGTGTCTAATAGAATTTATTTAATTATTATTATCTCCACTATTTGGCAAATTGTAATCTGGTGCATCCAAATTGATAACCCTAACAGTATTGTCAACTAAAGTAATCGTTGTAGTAAATGATTTATATTCAAAAACAATTATAGAAATATTTCTGTTGTTTTTCCAAAGAAAGTTGATTGTATTGTTTTCAATTTCTTCAGACATGGCGGAAAAAGTTTTTTTTTCTCTCTAAAGACATTATATATATATTTGTATAAATAAATATAATTATATACTACTTTTTATAAGATTTAAGTTATTATAATTGTAGTATTAATATTATATAAATTTAAACTTATGTCGTTTTCAACATGATTATATGAATATAATTATATAATTGTATTTTACTAAATTAATTTATAAGATTAAATCATTATAATCGTAGTATTAATATTATATAAATTTAAATTTATGTCGTTGCTATCATATTTATATTATATAATTTTATAATTGTATTTTACTAAATTAATTTATAAGCTTAAGTCATTATAATCGTAGTATTAATATTATATAAATTTAAAC